GAATTGTGGGCTTGCATCTGTGCCCAATTTTCTATTAAGGCATTCATTTTTTAGTTTATAATAGCCCTTTACATATTCAGCATATAAGCTCTTTGACAGAGGTTTGTGATTTTTTTTTCCTCTTTAGCTCTTATATTTAATTTGGATTATTGTATTGTCGATATTCATTTATGAACTAGTTTTTCTAGTTTCTACCTTTGTTCTTATGTTTAAACAGACCTTCCACACTCTAAAATGTTCATCCATATTTCCTACTAGTTTTGTAATAAATCTTGAACATGTAACTCGATCATCTTTCTAGAATTTAACTTGCTATAAGTTCATGTTGAGACTATGTCTATAAATGAGATTGGGTTTTGGCTTTCTGTTTTGTAGTTTCATAACCAAGTTTGGGTAATACTAGTTTGTAAAATAATGTCAGCCCTTTGTGTGCCATGACACAGGTCATTGGTCGCAACACTGTTCTGTGTTCTTACTTGTCCTTAACAGAGTGAGAGGGCCTACCAGCTCAGTATTCTGGGCCCAAAGCATTTTCAGGAAGTAATTTTTGACAAACATTTTCAATATTTAGCTCAATCATTTGTTCATATGCTGAGATTTTATTTTTCCCTCTTATTGAAACCCTTTTTATAATTTATATTCCCTCTGAGTCCTCCATTTTTTTAGATTTTAAAATTATTTAGGGTAGAGCTGTAAATAACATTTGCTTATAATTTTCCATTTTTTAATATCTGTCATTCCCTCTTTTATCTAGGCATCAATTATTTTCTTTGTGTTTTCTAACTTCATTCATTTTTTCATAATTTCTCCATTCTCCTTTAAAGTTCCAATTTGTTATTTTTTATCTAATTCTTTAGCTGTGTACTATCTTTTATTCTTATCCTTTTTTATAGAAAAATAGCTCAATAGATATCTAATAAATCATCTGCATTTATTTTATTATTCAGATATGTCTTTGGCATTTATTTATTTCCTATTTTATCTGTCAAATACTGAAAAAGTCATATTAAATTCTGTCAGTTCTATTGTATTTTTAAATTGTCCTTGAACTTGTAACACTTTGCTTTTTAAATATATGCTGTTTTTTAGTTTGGAGCATAAAAATGTATTGCACTTTTTAAAAATATCATGGACCTTCTTTGTCCCATCTAATGATTACATGATGTTAAACGTTCAGAAATAACAGAAGTAAAACCAGTGAATCACCAAAGCAATAATTAGCAAACTTTTATTGTGCACACACCAAAAAGTTTTCAAACCAGGAGCACTCAAACCAAACCACAGAGGGAGGCTCAGGGGTACATTGTTATCAAGCAGCTTGTATGGTAAGTTTACATTCTTCACAGGGATTGGTTACGATATTAGGATTTTCTTAAATAATAGGCATTTGGTTAATGGTTACCTCATGTCAACCTTGGGAAATAGTTCAAGTTTTGCTTATGATTTCCGGAAGCGTAGCAAGAAATGCCCCAGGTCAAGTTAGTCTTGCAAAGTAAGCTAAATTAAACTTTATTTGTATGACTAAACTGGTTTTGTCTGCCCAGGGAATTTGCAAAGCTGGTCTCCACTTGTTTTTTATTTTGACAATGATGTCTCCTAATTGTTTAATATTATTGCTGTAACTCCAGTTGTTTTGTTTGTTTGTTGTTTATGTAGATTTTCCTACCCTTTCACCTTTAACCTTTCAGAATTGTTTCATTTTATGATTATCGATGGTAAGAAGCTCTCACTCAGATACTGCTTTGGCCCAGTCCTAAGTCAAAACTTTTTAATAAAGGATACCATAGTCACAGTTATTCCATGTATTTGATTTACTTTTATCATTTTAAGGCTTCTATTTTAAGCTTCTTGTTGTTTTCTTTTTACCATTATTTTGAGGTATAAATTATGTTCAATTTATTTTTTCAACCATGCATCTTGTTTTCAATTCTGTATGTCATCACCTTGTAAAATATTTAAAGACGTGCCTCTATACAAGCTAAGAACTGCAAATAACTCAAAAGTTCATCAATAGTAGAAAATATTAGCAAACTGTATAAATGACAATGAACTTGTATAAAGTAATAAAAGCAAATAAACTAAACTGTATCAACAAACCTGAATGATACAAATTGTTGAACCATAAAAGCAAAACAGAAAATAATGTGTATATTCTATATAAAGTTTAAAAACAGGCAAAGGCAAACCACATTGTTATCCAACGGCAACAGAAGTTAGGACCGGGGGCAGTTAGTGGGGAAGGATGGAACTGTGATCAGAGAGGAACAAAGGTTTCTGGGAAGCTGGGATAAGGCTCTTTCTTCAGTTCAGTGGTAGCTATACTGCTGTCACTTTGTAATTACTCACGAATTTCTACACATCCATTGTGTGCACCATTCTAATACAATGTTTTATCTCACAATGAAAAAAAGTCACACGTAACTATATTTTTTTAATTATGTCGGAAAAGGCATATCTATTTATTCTCTTCCATGTAGCTTAAAAACACTTCTATTTCTACCTGTACCCTACCCTGACCTCCTATGTTCTGTTTTTTGTTAGTATGACTTTTTTTTTATTTTTTATCACCTTTCAATAACTATTTATGACCTATTCAATTGATTTTATACTATAATCAGAATAATCCTTTAGATTCCATGCTATTTCAGATTTTTTCAATATTTACTATTAGTTATTTTTTTAATAAAACAGCCCCATTCTAAATTTGGATTTTCCTTTCTTTTTTATCATTTAAAAAAATCTCTCATGGAGAGGAGAGTATGCCTCAGTGGTAGAGTGTGTGCTTAGCATGCACGAGGTCCTGTGTTCAATCCCCAGTACCTCTGTTAAAAATAAATAAACAAATAAAAATAAACCTAATTACCTCCCCAACCCCAGAAAATTAAAATAAAGTAAATTTCTTTAAATCTCTCATGGCTTAAAATGAGTATATTATTAGTAGAATACTTTTTTAGACAATAGCTGAACATGCACTTCAATTGCATTCTTATGTAAATGAATAATCAGGTAAAAAATTCTAAGGAATATTTCTTCCTCAAAAGTCTGAAAGTCTAGACCCATTTATTCTTGCAGTCAGTATTTCAGAGGAAGACTCAGAATGTAAGGTCATTCAAGACACCACCATGCTTCTGTTACATCCCCAGGATACATGGACCATGTATATCATCCTCTTTCTCATCAATTTCATCCTTTTATCCTCATCATCTGAATTCTGGAAAAGCCTCTCAAATTTGTCTTCCACGTTAGGATTCCTTGCATCATAGAAAAAGCTTTTTGATTTTAATCCTTCTAATGCAAATTTTAGTTGTTCTCATGCAGACTTTAAATGGGCTATTACTTTTTAGTTCCCATTCTTCTTTTCCTACCTCATCCAACTCAGGTTGAATTTCTATGCTCTCTGTCTCCTAGCTAGCTCCTCGTCTACCTCTGTCTCTTATTTTATTATCTCATGCTTCAGCTCCATATTTTCCAGAGTTTCACTGAAAGCACAAAGAGCCTATTTGAAATTTGTTCTCTTTCCTATGGATATTATTATTATTAGAAATAAGACTTCTGCGTCATCTTCCTTTCAGGACACAGACTATTTGCTTTGTCCCACACTGAGCTGTTCCGCTGTGGTACATCCATATTTAATGAGGTTGGCTTATACCCTTTGGTTCCCCCTCACTGGCTTTTACATTTCTCTTAAAATTTTCTTTGTAGACCTTAAGCAGCGAGGTTGCATGTGTAGCTGGCTGTCCCAGAGATGGAGGAATTGGAGAAAGAATTCTTTCTGGTGACCCACTCTACTAAAGATCGGCTTTTGGTTTTTTCTTCTCTTCAGTTCACTTGTAATGCCAGGTTAATGGAAAATCTTCTCCAATCTGCTTCCCCAGGCTGCTGCTGATTTACCACATCAGATAGAAAACTAAGCATGTCTCGAAGAAATCTCACCTCACTGCCAGCTTTCTTCTTGATGTGAATCCTATGTGAACTCTAAGGTCTCCTAATACAGTTCTTCCATCTGCTCTGGATTCACATCCAGGAACAGGCATCGGGTGGTCACCCTGGGCTTTCTCTAAGGTCCACCATGGCCTGCAGGGCCCGCCCTCCAGACTAGCCACCAGTAGAGCATCTCTGAAAGCATCAGTCAGCTCTGTGTCCTCCTTGCCTTGCTTCATTTTGAAAAAATCTGCATTAAATGTAAAAGAAATTATTCACTGTTCCCAGTTATTTTTTAGCAACTCCTTTCCATAATTTGCAAATAGTGATGTCTGCTTCCTGTTATTTTGTATTTTCTTCTGTTATTTCTAAGATGATTTGAGATAGAAGTGGTGTGTTGTGCAAATTACCACAGCCCTTATTACCGACATGAAGGTCTGTCAAACTAACCAATGAGCTAGAAATTCCAAAATTTTCCAAGTGGATCAGCCTTGAGGAAAGAAAAGAGAGAGGTAAAGAGAACAGAACGCCTTTAAGAATTGCACTCTTGGTGAGTCTCAAATATCACATCTGTCATTTGGGCAAGCCATCTTATTCATTCTGCTTTTAGCTCAATTTTCAGGTGAGTCACCTCAAAACCATGCTGCAAAATGGCCCAGTTGCAGCAGGGAGCAATGAAGCTTCCCAGAATCTTGTGAAATAACATGATTTGTGAGCAGAACCTCCCAAACAATATTTCTCAGGGTTATTTAAAGCTCTTGCTTTTCCTTTCTCCCTAATAATGTTAACTCAGATGAGTACATGGAGCTTTATAATGCTAATCTAGAAAAAAAAGAAAAGGTATTATTATTATTATTATTATTATTATTATTATTATTATTATTATTATTAAATAAGAATCCACTTATAGAAATAACATTTGCATTGTGTTCCATATTACACTGTAAAAGCATCAAGGTGGAATTAAACATTGTTCTTAAAGTCAGAAATCTTTGTCTTTTTTTTTAATTGAATGAAAGATTTTTTAAATTGCTTTACAATTTTCAGAAATTTCACACACATGATTTCATATAATCCCATAATAATCCTTCTTTTCCCCACCCCTATATTGCTCCTCCCTCCTTCCCTCTCCCCATTGGTAATCACTTGTTTGTTCTTTATATCTGTGAGTCTGGATTTTTGTTTGTTTGTTTTATTCACTAATTTGTTGTATTTTTTAGATTCCACATATAAGTGATATCATAGTGTCTGTCTTTCTCTGTCTGACTTTTAAGTCAGAAATCTTAAAATGTATATAATCTGAGGTGTCCCCATAACTCACTGAACAAGATGAAATAATTACTTAGCAACTAGAATGATAGACACTTCTTAAGGTGAGAAATTTTTCCTGCTGGTTTTCTCTTTCCATTAAGTGAGGACGTATCTGACCAGCCATCAAAGGGTAGAGCACGTGGAATACAAAAGAGGAACAGCCACATTCAACTTCTCCATGCCCCTCGGCTGGCGAAGGAGTCTACGTCAGAGACTGTGTAGAGGAAACTGCTGTCCCCAAGCTATAGCTTTGGTCACGAGTCCCTCGTCACCTGACTCTACACCTGTTGCCCCCGAATCCAGGACTCAGCTGCAGGTGAGAAGGGTTTAAATAAGCCCCTCCATCTTACATCCCTGTGCTTCCAAGTGACCAAGTTTCAAATGTGTTGAAATTCCCTACTCACCAACTCTGACCGTCAATTAAGTAAAATGAATGAGTTTGGGAAGTGTTTCATCACCAATTCAGCCAAAAAGATAGATGTTAACAGTACCACCTTCAGTTATCTACAATCATGGTATATAAACATTTATAAACATTTATTTCATAAACATTTATTTCACCTACAAACCTGTGTTGTTGATTCAGGTTGGATGCAACTGAGCAGTTTTGGCTCAGCTGGGCTTACTCTCAAGTTTGGGAGCAGATGGTTGTTGGCTGATCTAGGATGGCTGGGGTGCCTGGCACAACTCAGCTCTGCTCTGCGTGTCTTGTCTTTCAGCAGGCCAGCCAGACATCTTCTCATAACAATCACAGAGGAGCAAGAGAATAAGCAAAAATAGCACACACTTGGCCTCTGCTCGGGGGGTCGCATTTGTTAACATACCATTATCCAAGGCAAGTCCACGTGCTGAGCCCAGAGTCAAGGGGTAGAATAGAACAAATTCGCAACCTAGAGCAAGGCAAAGGGAGTGGGTACTGGGAGGGATATAGAATGGAGAACAACCGTTAATGCAATCAAGCTAATGTACTCCTTTAATGCCAGTGTGTCTCCTCTTTAAACCAAGGCGATCCTGAGTAGGCTGGTTACTTTATAACACACTTAATGTTTCATTTAGGGCCCTAAAATCTAGAGCTACTCATTCACAGGAGAGTATCTAGTCAACTAACCTCAAAACAGTTAAAACTGAGTCACTGAATAATTATGATTATAAACAGAGG